AGCCATTTCCGCAATAAATTCATGAGAGGAAAGGATTTTTACCATCAAGACAGCCTGGAAGTAGTCCGTCAATTGGCAAGGACGATCACTAGATGGGACGGTAATCGGTACTGCTCACTATTGGTCATTCCAGGATGTCGTTCATCCAGATGATAAGAAAACACCCCTCCCGTTCTCATATAAGGTGAACGGACAACTACAACCTGGATCTGTTATTCACATACACGGCAAAATAGCAAATCCGGCAATCAGGTAGGTGAAGCATTGAGAAATTCCTGGAGTAGTGCTTAGAGGCGTTTTCTTGAGGGCGCTACCGCAAGATACGGGGGCATTATGGTGTCAGCACATTTACAACCGCGTGAAACATCTCCATCTTGTCAAAAACAGGACTAAGTGGGGGAGGAGAGACTCCAGGGTGCGCGAGCTATTTTCATTTTCCCCGCAGTTCCTGCACCGTACCAGACTCAGTCCCAGAGCATGCCCCCGTATCTTGCGATAGCGCCGGCCTGCGATCATTGTGCAATTGATTCAATTTCAGAGTGGAATTCCATTTTCTCGAAGGCTTCACAGGTGCTTCTGCCGGTCAGACTATTTTCCATGTTAGCATGCGTTTCGATGATCCTGCTATTGTCATGAATTCAAGAATTGTAAGCTTGTTTTCTCTATTAAATATTTCACACTTTCATGCTAACCTATGGTTCCCAAGATGCACATCTACCCCCCCCCCCAAATGCCCCTCAGTTACCGCTTTAGTTGAAGGCACTTTCTATGATCAGAGTAATGTTGTTAATTCGCTGAAACCTGGAGGTGGAGGTACCAGTAAAGAAAGAGAGGAAACCGCTCTTAACACTGGCAGTGCGCACCTTCTTTTCTTGCATGGTTGACGTCTTTGTGAGACCGATAGAGACAGACAGTTGAAGAGACAACGTGTCGAAGTGAGAGAACAGACGTCAGAGACAAGAGAGCGTAGCAGACGAGAGAGACGAAGCATCGCGTACGTAAACCGTCGCGTAGTGGTCAGGTGGTTGCGCAAGGCCCGAGTGCCCTTGCCGCGTTCTTTCAGTATTGGAAGGGACACACTCTCCACTTTTGTGGGTAGCTCAGTATAGCCCATGAAGAGGACCAATCACCTGGCTCCATCGTAAAATTTGGCGATACCATAGAGCAAGGACCTATTCCAATGGTCAAATGGTTTAATTGAGATGCCACGAGCCACTTCTCAAATGAGGATTTCCACGATAAGGTCAAAGGTGAGAAGGGAAGCCTATTGTGCCGAAAGACAGGAAGCCCCTAAGGGGTGAGCCGACATTCAATCGTCAGCAAAGGATTATGCCCCAAGCGATCTGCAGAAGCTATATTCGGCGCCGCTACAGCCCCACCCACTTACTAGCTGACCTCGTAGGGTCTCTAGCCGTTCAGAAGAGCGTGAGTGTTATAGAGGGCAGCACCGATGAGAAATCAACGGACAGAGCAGCAGTCCCACTTCTCGGGTTCTGGGCTTTCTCATACTTTTATCTTCATCCCGGCACCACTGACCACCACTACCTTACAGTAGTTTTGATGGTGTGCCTTCTAGACGTGAAAAAAAAAAAAAAAAAAAAAAAGAAAAAACCTCACCTTTGATGTCGCTCTAAGCTCCACCAGAAGCGGTATTAACTTAAAAGCACTGAATAGATCAGAGCTTGCTCAGCAGTTCCCTTCGAGATGCGAACTATGTTGCATCTGCTTTGGCAATCGCGAAAATCGCGCAAATCGCGTGAATCGCGCAAATCGCGAAATCGCGAAAATCAGCGAAACCTGCGACGGATCGCGGACTCTGACACCAGCCTTAGCGAGAACTTAGCAGTGCTCATATAGCGGCACGCAACCTTCTGCTTGTAGGGAAAGGAATCGTAAAAAAAACACCGGAAGGAAATATACAGGGGTGGCCATAAAAAAGGAGACACTTCACTCCACATTTCAGACAGCATTAATCACACTTTTCCAAAAACCAAATCGACTGCCTCCAACTCATTATTAAAGAACACATTCTAATCTATCTAAAGTTTACATGACAGCCTTCTACCCCGACGACGTCAGAAGATTTTCCCACGGAAAACATGGTTCACGGTACGAGCTCAACGAGGTCGTCGAGGTACCATAGACCATTACGACGTCCCTGAAACACTGGTCAAAAGCGGTTTTGCATAGTCACAGCTAATGTCTCTGGGAAGCTATTCAACAGTTAATCCATTGAAGAAATTATGTAGCAGCTTCAGGCCGGAGCGATTACGGTAAGCCTCGTTGAGCTCGACGGTGGCGGCAGATGACGTTGTATTCTGAAGACGGCGGGGGCAGTGAAGGAGGGCCTGCTTCTGTTTACGGGGAACACCTAAGGAATATTCCGCCGTAAAACTTTCATTAACATCGGCTCCCTGTGCGACGAAAAGTTCGATGATGTGCGCCATGGGCAAAGTGTCTCTTTTTTTGGCCACCCCTGTATATCGTAAAATTGCACAGGTTAACAATTATATACAACGATAAAAGATCAATTCCTCACCGTGGAAATCTTTTTTCTGGGATACGCCACGCGTTCACTTCCATTCAAACCCGCGACTGCTTTCGTATGAGTGTTCGGCCCGTACAGTGACTGGCAGGAAGCCGATACTGGCAGTGACATTGCTTTGATCCTCCCATATAGATCTGGCAGCGATTAAGCGGCCCTGGAAATGTAAGACTTGATTTATCTGAGGTTCACTTGGGGTCTAATCCGCAGACTATCTATGCGAAAAACGGCTCGTTTTACCCTCATTACTAAACACTGCATCTCAATGGTGTATAAGATAATTGCTTCCAATGATACTTCACACAGAATGGAAGTTGGGGAACAGAAGAGCGTCAACCAAATGTGTTCAAAGCTGGAATGCCTTTCGATGTGAAAATCAGGTGCGTAAAATAAATTGAACTAGATTTCGAAGAATCCATAATTTCGTAAATTTCTTGAAGCACCTTGCTTCTCGAATAGTTCAATCATCTTACGAATTGAAGGTACATTCCGATGGAACAAAACCAAAGTTTGGGATTTAAGGGCAGTGATCACGACGACTAATGGGCGGGGTTTGTTGGCGTCATTCAACGTCATTGGCGGAAGGTTGTCAAGACCCGTCAGTGCCCTGAGGGAGGGAGGGAGGGGGGGGGGGTAAGACTGGAACCATCTATTGACGTTTGTCCACCAATGACGGTCAATGACGTCATCTAAACCGCACCGCCCATTATGGTCACTGCTTTTGAATGTGAAGCAGTGAGTGCTTAATGTTCCACCACTGAAGAAAAGAAGGAAAAGATCACTGAAAGCGCTCTAAGTAAGACCCTTCTCTTTGTGGACAGAGGTGGGAGGATAGGTGTAAAAACAAAAGTCTTGAAGGCACTGGGTGCCGAGGTGAGAGAGCGACAGACGGACGAAAGAGCATAGCGGTAAGTGATATAGCAGACATCGCGATGGTGTCGTGCTGGTTGCTTGAGGTTCCAAGCCCCTAACGCCTTTAGCACGAGTGTTGTGTCGCGAAAGTGACTCTATCTCTGCGGTTGTCAACCGGACAGCCTTATCGCTGAAGGAAGTGGTCCATTGGTCTAGCCGCGGAATGTGCCTTTAAGTGTACGATTCAATTTGTAATCCCAGTAAAGCATTTTAGAGTTACGAATGACTTCATGGAAGTGTACTGTGCGAACTCAAGCATGCATCAGTTCAAACATCGCCTACCCTTCGCTCAAGTCCACTTCATTGAATGTGACGGGGAAGCAACACTGAACGGTTTCCACTATGCCGAGTCATGGTAAGAACGACTTCCTCCTTCTTGTCCCTCTGAGTTTTCCTTACAGGTGGAGTGAGCAGACGAGTTGAAGACGGGTGACCTCATCCCGTTAAGTCCCCCTATAAAAGGGATAGGGTACTCGACAGGGGGCCCGTCGCGCGGCAAGAAGGCAGAAACACAGGCGGGTCAGCGAACGAGTCGCACTAGTGAATTCGCGTCAAGTTAAATAGAATGTACTATAGCACGTCCCACATCAAACAGCACGCGCTGCGACTCGTCCGCTGACCGTCTGCGTCTCCGCCTTCTCGCCGCGCGACGAGCCTCCTGTCGGGTACCCGGAGGGATGTTAGTGAATCAATGTTGTTACCATGGTGTTATTTTTTCTTACATCCTTCAATCGCATGACATCAGCAAGCTAACAAGAGACTGCGAAAACAGTTGCGCTGCCACCTCAGTCCAACATACTCCTCAGAATATCTCACTTATTCCTGGTCTGAATGCTCTCTAAGGTCGACTTGGGGCAAAGGTGTTAGCCACGAGTTTCCAGATGCGACGTCGTGTGCCGAAGTTCAACGTTGGGGGTATACTGCACCCAACAATGTAATTTTACCTTCCGGTTATAGCCTTCAGTGTCCGTCATCCCCTCCCCTCCCCCGTTATAATGTTGCGTGATCTTTTTTATTCGACATTCCCGAGGGAGCCCACAAACATGTATAAGTACTTTCTCAGAGCGACATCATCAAATGTGATATGATCCATAGAGCCGAGAACACCATAACTTAACCTACGGAGCTGAGAACGCCATAACTTGACTAACGGCTCTGAGTGGTAAATCTGCAACCAGTAGTAGGCTAACTAAAAATTCTGACCTCGCCGCAGCTACACGTTTATGGCCAGCACTCAATGGGTATCTACAATTTTTGTTTCCCACGCCGGGTGTGTCGTAATTGCGGACTTGTCGTATACGCGGCTACAGGTCCTTACAAGTTGGAACGTGGCAACTTGCTAGGACGAAGCTAAAACAAATGCAGAAATGAGGGACACAGACGAAACAAAAAAGCGTTTTATCGATCGTCTAGAGAGGCGGGTCCTAAACTTGGCCAGTTGTCATGTTTTAAACTGCGAAGACACCGGCGACGTCGCGCGCGGTGACCTAGTTTTATCGCGGCGGTCGAGGCTGACTCTTGACCGCTTCTAAAAACTAATCGCATAATGATCTGCGTATTTTAATGGTATCTGGAGCTCGGGTGTAGCTGGTCTAGCCATTACGACAATGCTCATCGTGGAAACAGTTGTCCAACTATGCAGCTTCCTGTTGGGAAATTTGACAAAAAAAATCATGGATTTTAGTGCTGTGATACTTTACCTCACACGCGAAACTTCCCATCCGGTTGCCTACAGTATAGTAAGTCCTACTGTTAATGTCAAAGAGATTTCGGTGTCAAAGTAGACTCTATTTAGACCAGCACGTCATCATTTACGGAATAGCGACCGGTGATAGCTGGACGGTTGAGCTGACCGGAAGCGGTGGCAACGCCCTGTTTCAACTTATTGCAAAATATAAAGAGAAAGTCGTAAGTTCAAAAGGCCGAAATCCGTCCACGGCTTTCTATAAAGGTGATGAAAATGAAAATATCCGTAGTTTACTCGTAATGCGAATATTGGTGGAAATTGGGGTCAGGAGGACGTGCTGGACAATTTCCTTATCAACGAGATCGTGGCTTTGATCTTTCAATTGCGAACTTGCCCAGTGGTCTCCAGGTGAGCACTCTCTCATTTAGTTATCAGTTTTTCACATATTGAAGACTTGTGAAAATAAGGAGAATGAAGGAAAAGCAATCACTGAACCTCGGCTTAAAGAACAGAAGTGCATGAGAAATGTGTTCGAAGAGGGCGCAAACGCAGTAGTCCGCCATTGAGGGATTTGCGCGCGGCCCGCGCAGCGCTCAACAGGCTAGCCGTGCTGGCCTTTTTGAGTCGCGACAGATGCGTGACTCATTGGGCCTTGTGATCACCTTTTTCACAGATTAGGGGCTGACTATATGCACCTAATCTCAACGTGGGTTTGAGAACCGCATTTCGAAATGGACAGTCTCGGTGAAGAGGAAAAGAGCATGACATGCTGGACGCAGAGATGGCAGACCGATGCATACGGGTAACTCTCGTTCAAACAGCCGAGAGTTCACCTCTGTACAAACGCTATATTCTACTCACGGAAGAACCTAAGTCATGTTGGGACTCGACAGACTTAAAGGCACACTCTGGGATTAGGCGTGCTTCCCTGTTCCATATCCGATAAGCAGACAGGCCGGCAAGTGTTGATGCGCGCCCTCTTGCGGTTGAGAGGGCGAGCCAGCGCCAGGAGCTCGCTTGACCCCAATCCATACCTTTGCATGCAAGCCCCGCCTTCCGCTGACGGTAACGTGACGCTGCTTACAAAGCGCTGGGCGCAGTTGCGGCAGCGCTTGTCATAGGCACTGTAGCAACTGGAGCTGGGTTCGTGGAACTCGTCCACACGCCTCTTCTCTATCCCAATGTGCAATGCGGCTGAATGAGAGGGGGTCCTTGTTCCGAACCTTATCGGGGGTTTCTCCCACTTTCTTCTATTCCAGACCACACTCCACCTCTACATAGCTTCATTATTGAGCGCTATTTCACACCTATTTGTTTTTCGGAGCTTGCTCTAATGACTTAAGGCGTTGGACCAACATTTAGCAATGGGGAGGTGTGGAGGCTCGGTGAATTGAAGGCAATGGAGTCCAACGACGTCATAGGACCGTTCCGCTTCTAGCCATCTTGTTCAATTCTTTCAATTTATACGTTTCAGGTTCTCTGCAATAACGCTCGCTTCACCGTGTTCCCCCATCGTACCGGAGCACCGATTAGTGACTATACTGGACTGAAAATTGAAGGTGATGCGAGGATCGTTATGTACGAGTGGCCCCGTGAATCGACAGCATCCTACGCTTGTTCCTCACTGAACACAGTTATCTCGAGTTTTATACAGTTTTGAACTGTATAAATAAAGTTGTGCAAGGACAGTATTTGTTTGGAAAAAAAATACACATTACAAACTACCAAAGGAATTCAATCAAGAATCTAGGTGTTCCTATGCAGTAGCCGGTAGGTCACAACCTCGTGTGGAACTACATATTTGTCGATTTCAAAGCAGCAACCCCCGATCAAAATAGTGGAGCCAGTGCTCGATAATGAATTGTGCGACGCGACCGTGACTGAAATGAAAAAGACAGAGTAAAGCAAAAGCCGATGAAGCCCCTCCAACGAGCTATCCTATTGTCCTTCCCTTAAGATGGAGAAGGGTGCCCCGCGTGTCTGGACGCAGCTTACATGGATGTGGCGTTGTCCATGCTGCACTCAGCGGCGATTTAGCCCTACGTCGCACGTCATGGTTCGCGTGTTTTCAGGTCTGCGCGCGATTTGGTCCACAGCTCACAATTAGCCGTCGTTATTACTCACTTTGCAAGCTCCCCCACTTTTCGCCAATTTTGCAACCGCCAGCACGGCGCCACGCGATACTGCGGGTTCTATTAACCTGCCACAAAAGTAGATTGTTACCACTTATTTCATCTGCGGTTGATGCTTAGAACGGATAGACGTCGAGCTATGCTATCCACCACTGTGATGCCAGGAGACCAACCACACGGCGTCACCCAGATGCGGAAAGATCTATTGCGGGGGGGGGAGGTGAGCCGGAGCCGCGGACGCGCGACATGGCCAAAGCCTGCAGTTGCAATGGGTCGGTGTCGGGGAATCGAGAGATACGCTGATGCGCTGGAAAAGTCGCGGATGTGCAGTCAACACTAGCTTGCCGGACATACAGAATGCCGCGGCGCAACCCTACCCCCCCCCTCGGTACTACCTTGGGTGCCCTTGTTGCATCTTAGTGATAAGCTGGACTCCAGCTCGCTTGCTCCAGCAGTACACTGGTCCATAACATGGAGTTACATGTTCCAGTCAAGCTAGAGCCGAGCGTCAGTTTGAATTTTTATTTTCGCGCCAATCGGCTGCGTGCAAGCTTCGTAGCTGCCCTTCGCATTACTGGCTTACGGGCTTCAAAGAAGCTCAGCGGTTCCATGGCATCACTCGGCGCTTTGTGTTTGATCTTTTTTGCTCACCTTTCGCTCTTTTTTTTATGATGTTCATCTTCGCATAATCTTCTCCTCGTAGGAGTACATCGTTCAGACTTCGCGATGAAGCAACGAGCGAGGCCAATGTGGCTCCGGGGAAGGCCAGCCGGTGTCAGATTCACGGATTTGTTCAGTTTTAGGACTAAGCTTTGGAGCAGAAGGACATCCGCAGTTGCATGGCCTTCCCATTCACTTCGCCGATTCGTCCATCGCCGTTTAGGCTTGAGTTAGTGCCTTCGTATAGACNTGCCCCGACGCACATTGCGCCGCAAGCGACTGCACATGTAAATTGATTAGGAATTTCAGAACAACAAAATGTTGCCCAGTCCCTTGGCTGGTTTACTTCATAGTGCTTTCGCGATTCATCAGCTCTGATTTAATTTGCCTAGGACGCGATTCGCGACGTATAAACGTTGACTAAGGTAGCCGACCTCTGAATTTCCGCGATGCCTAAGACGTGACTTGAGAGCCGGCTAGGCAATATTCAGGAAAGGAGATCTGTTGTCTCAAAGTCAGTCAATATAAATGTGATGATTTCCGCTGAGTCTTCAAATCTCATGATCTCCTAGTCTGCTCCTTTCTCCAGAAAATATATTTTTTCATTATCTCATAATCTTTCATGTCTTAAAACCATGACATTAGCCGCGTTTAGACCATCCTCATTCTTCGCCATCTGTGCAGCTACGCATTTTCTGTAGTGGACACCGCACTTGATGGAACTCGCTTGTATAAGTTGTTTCCTGCATACTTCGCCGTAAATCAGCTAAGAATGCTGGAAACATCATGTCCATGCGTTTTCTATCAAGTGCGGCGGTCAGAAAGCGGCTTTTTCGTGTTTTGCAGCGCAAAACATTTTTCGCTGGGCAACCTCAAGTCCACCGCTGCTCTCGGTAAACAGTTCCACGCATGCGGAAAAGTGTTTACGCCGCTGGCCGAAACGGAATAAGTCGCGCCTGCTCTAGCTAACCACACTGTAGTACTGCTCTTAGACGACGAGATAGGCGACGATAGTAGCATGGACTGCCACACTGAGATTCTGAGAGACAGCTGAGATTAGCCAGATGCTAGGAATGTCATTTTCACATCAGTCATGGTCGATGCCCTGATTATGTAAATGCACTTCATGTGATCTGACGCGAGCGCAAAAATTGCGCCTTTTTTCACGGCCAGTTGTTTTCACCACATTCGGTTAATTGGCGAATTCTATCTGCAACGAGGGGATCAAATTAGACTGCCTCCGCAACAGAATGCGCTGAACTCTATTGACAGCCCAGATTCTTATATCGGTCCTTTGCTACCAATACCGGCGTTCATACCCAACGTTATAGGAGAATAGGAGAACAGGACATGGAGAAAAAATTATTTTGACCGGAAGATTACGAGATCCAAAGCTTCAGCTGTAAGACTAGATCAGTACTGTGAAATCCTGTCTTTTCAGCTGTATATCCTGATCTGCTAATCTACCAAACGCTGAGTTTGAACACTGCGTAGTGGAACAAAGAAAATTGTAGCTTCACAATTAAATCATTTCGAGTCCTATTGTTCCGCTTTGATTCGGTAGTTTTATAGATCCATGCCTCCTTCAAGGACTGCTCAACGAATTCCGAGTCCAGTTCACGCCGTGGATAATCGTTCGGTGAGGTTATTGTTGGGCTCCGTGCTAGAGCGCAGTTAGGCTGGTGTCAGAGTCCGCGATCCGTCGCAGGTTTCGCTGATTTTCGCGATTTGCGCGATTCACGCGATTTGCGCGATTTTCGCGATTTGCGCGAAACCTGCGACGGATCGCGGACTCTGATACCAGCCTTAGCTGACAGCTGCTGACACATATAAGCAAATGCTTCCTTGACACATTGCGTACCGCGGCGTTTTTTCGATGTACTCACCACCGCTAGCTGCGAGATAGACATAACTTTCCTTTTTATCATATGCTACTGTTATATGAGCAACGCAGATATGTGTTGCATTTTTTACGATTCATGTATATTTGCCAAGTGGAATTTAGTATTATCACGTGGTAAGACTGGTATCTGAGTCCGCGATCCGTCCCGCGACGGATCACGGAAATCAGAGTGCCTCTGTCAGTACAGCGAGGTGCTCTTTAATCCCGCCGCCATTTCTGGATGGTGGTGGTTGAATGACGGCTGTTTGTCTTCTTGTTTCCTATTCAGTGTTTCATATGTACAAATGGGCCCTTGGCGGGTGCTATGTGGGTTGAGGGGATCAGCCCATGGACCTTCGAATCGAGACCCGGATATGTCGATAGAGCTTCAAACATAGATTACAAATATGAAAACTAAAACTGCAAAATGAACCAAGTAAGTTGTGAGCAGTCAAAGTTGGCTGGAAACAAAGCGTTTCATATGAAACGTGGTACCGTCCGGGCATTCAAAGTCGCCATGGAGTAGTGGTAGTGCTCTCGAAAGTTGCACTCCAACGGAAGAGAGCGCATGACCTCCTGGGTGGAGAGCGAGGGCACCACCACTACTCCGCGGCTAGCACGGTATATGTAATGCTTTACTTCAGCCAACTTTGACTGCTCACAACTTCCTTGGCAGGTTCATTTTGCAGTTTTAGTTTCCATATTTGTAATCAGCGTTTGAAGCTCTATCGATATATCTGGGTCTCAATTCAAAGTTCCATGGGAAGTTGAATGCCTTCCCTGGTTAGCACCCATTTGCGAATTTACGATTCACGCGAATCGCGCAACTGATCGCGGACTTTGACACCAGCCTAAGGTGGTAAGGTAATCAAAAGTGCGGCAGGTATTGAAAACGTATATTGTATAACACTTGAGTTTCGCATCTACCTTTTCGCAGTGGGAATTTGCGAGCCCAGTCAAAATAGCCAAGGGGATTCTACTAGTGTTGATATTGCGCAGATTTACTTGAAGTAAGTGATTGAGAAGTTTCGAACATGTGAAATAATTGGCACTAGTTAACCATAACGGTATAGGAAACTGGGTGCGTGTCAACAGAATCGTCCGGGGACCCGCGCTAGTGGTCGTGGCCGCGACGGCGCGGTGGCGGTGGACGAGTTTCTGTAAGCGTCATTCTATTGTGAATGTTAAGGGACGCCAAGCCGACTCGTCCCGCCTTTTGCTAACAATCTCATCATGAAATCCGATTTGAATAGTGTCTAGTACCGCTATATAGCACGGCAGTTAATAAATAACTCGAAATTACAATGCATTTACTCTACCATGTAACGATGGGCACAGAATTTGTGCATAGCATTACGACCTATACATTTTAATACTTAACTAGGTTGGGTTCGCACCTAAGTAAAGGTCGGCGACCCTAATGTGCAAACCAGACCTAATT